GTACTCCAAACCCACTGATGCCGTTGCACTCACATAGCGGACCAACCTCTTGGCCGCTTCCAGCTGCTCATGACTGGGGCGTGAAACCACACTGGCAAGCCTGGATGTTGCAAAGGCAATGTCAGGCCGTGTGTGGTTAGCCGCATAGTTGAGTGCCCCAACCATGGAATGAAAAAGTTTCCTGTCACTCTCACCCACCACCTCCTCATCAGCACAGGGCTCCACAGTGAACCCCGAAGGCAGTGGGGTGGCTGGCTTTCCTCCATCTTGCAGCCCATACTTCTCAGCCAGCCCCTCACAATACTTTCTCTGGTGCAACCTCAACACTCCCTTGTCAAGGTCCCTCTCCACATGCATCCCAAATAGTACTTCACATCTCCCATCTTGGAGCACTTGAACTGCATCTCCAGCATTTCCTCCACATGCTCAATCATTGCAGACGACTCAGAGAAGAGCAGGATGTCGTCCACATACACCAGGAGCATGAGAAACTGCTCCTTCTCCTGCAGCAGGAACAAGCTGTGATCACACTCACTCTTCTTGAAACCCCCAGCCAGCAGAGTCTCCTCTAACTTGTGGTACCATGCACGAGGAGCCTGCTTCAGGCCATAGATGGCCTTCTTCAGCCTGCACACCCTGCCGCTCCCATCATCCAAACCCTCAGGCTGTAACATGTACAGCTCCTCCAGAATGATCCCATTGAGGAAGGCGGTGGTGATGTCCATCTGCTTCACCTGCCATCCACGGTTTGCTGCCATTGCCAATGACACCCGAAGTGTTGTGCCTTTCCCCACAGGAGCATAGAGCTCGTTGAAGTCCTTTCCCTTTGTCTGCTGAAACCCCTTAGCCACAAGCCTTGACTTGTAGCGGGTCAGCGCCCCATCAGGTCCGTACTTGTGCTTGAAAATCAGCTTGGAAGAAATGGCCTTCTTCCCGGGTGGCAGCTCACACAGCTCCCACGTCTCATTCTCTAGCAGAGAATCATACTCCTCCTTCACACTCTGCTTCCACTTTTCAGCATCGGGCCCGCTCAATGCCTCAGCTAGCGTCTTGGGCTCAGGGACGGCTGCCCAGTAGCAGTGTGCTATCTCATCCTCATCACACTGCTCAGCCACACTCCCAGCCCTCACCACCTTTGGCTTGCCACGGCTTGCATAGGTCAGCCTGTTAGGAGGGCGCACATCCCTCCTAGGACGGTCAGCCGTACGTCCGGCACCTTGTGGAGCACCTTGCTCCTGCTGCTGCTGCTGCTGCTGCTGCTGCTGCTGCTCCACCTCAGGTTCTCCCCCATCATCAGTCACCCCAGAGATCTCCTCCTTGGAGACAGAAACCTCCACCTGCCTCGAAGGCCGCTGCACCTCATCGGCCTCGACAATTAGTGGTGTCGTAGGAAGCTTCTGCTGCTGCTGCTGCTTCCACTCTTTGTAGTACAAGGACTCAAGGAACTTCACATCCCTTGACACAGTCAGCTGCTGGCTGGTCAAGTCCCAAATTAGCCAGCCCTTGTGATCCTTAGCAAGCCCCAAGTGCACACCCCATCTCCCAGAAGCTTCCAGTTTTCCCCTCTTCTCCTTAGGCACATGAAACACCACCATGCAGCCATAAGTTCTCAGCATGTTGACTGCAGGCGCACTCCCATACCACTTGGTGTAGGGGACCCATTGCTTGTCCCCCACAGTCGCCAGCACCCGGTTCTTCACAACAACGACCTGCCGCAGTGCTGTCACCCAAAACGGATCCGGCAGCCCTGCACGCCCAAGGAGAGTGCGAGCACCTTCCTGCAGGGTCCGGTTGAACCGCTCAGCCACGCCATTCTGCTGAGGGTTGTAAGGCACTGTGAGCTGATGGTGGATCCCCTTCCGCTTCAGCTCCTTCTCAAAATCAGCGCCGATGAACTCTCCTCCGTTGTCAGTGCGGATCACCTTCACCTTGTGTCCGCTCTCCCTTTGTGCTCTCGGCATCCACTCCTTAAGAACAGCCGCTGCCACCTCCCCCTTAGTCTTGAGAGGGTACACCCACACCGCACGTGTGTGGTCGTCCACAATTGTCAAGAAGTAGCGGCTGCCCGAGAGAGAAAAGGCCCTCGTGGGGCCCACCACATCCATGTGTACTAGTGCAAGTGGTGCCTTGGCTGGTCCTGTGCTGCTGCTGAAGGGAAACTTCGTGAATTTGGTCTCAAGGCAGGTAGGGCAGCTCCCAATCTCCTTTGCTCCCCCCTTCACCTCCAGCCCCTTCAAGCACCCATCCTTAACCAACTTCTGCAGCATAGGAATGTTCACATGGCACAGCCTCTCATGCCACGTCTCCCAATCAGCCTCACCACTCCCAGATGAAGCCTTTGCCCATGCAGCTGTCGCATCCACACCAGCAAGCACCTCACCATGTGGCTGTTGTAGTTGCTGCACCTTCTTGACTGCATCCATGGCCCCAGCAGTTGGTGCAGACTCCTCTCCTCCCGCAGTTGCTTTAGCCGCTCCCGCTGCCTTTGCTGTTGCTGGTGGTTTCCCCTTCCAAGGGATGATTGGCAGCTGCCACAGGTCCTTGATGCAGCTGCTCTTCTCCTCCAAGTTCCACAGCAGCAACTTCCCAAGCTTTGCACGGCAGCTGGTTGGGCCGAAGGTAACTTCAGCCTTGCTCTTCTGCAGCCGGCGCACAGAAAGAAGGTTAGCGGACAAACCTTCAACCAACAGCACATTCCCAAGCCCCACAAGCTCTCCATTGGCTCCCATCACCTTAGCATTCCCAACACCAATCATAGGGAGCAAAGCACCTGAAGCGGCAGCCACAAACTTGATCTTCCCAGGAGGTTTTACCTCATCAAGCAAATCTGCCTGTGGGGTCATATGACTCGTGCAACCTGAATCGATCACCCAGTGAGTGAGGGGGTGCATCACAACCTTCCCAACTGAACCCACATCACCCCCACTCCCTTGCACATCCTCAACCATGAGGAACATCCCAGGGCCGGCTTTACCTTGTGCACCATCACCTTGTGCACCTGATCCTTGCACAGCGCCACCGCGTGCACGTTCACCACTTGGCGGCTTCATGCCTGGAGGGGCCCATCCCTCAGGCCGGCTGAAACACTTGAACCACGGGTGTCCAGCCTTCTTGCAGTACCAGCACGCACCCTCCATTCGGGTGCTCCCCCTGCCACCAGAGCTCCCATGCCCCTCATTGTAGTCACCTCGGCCTCTCCCTCTGCCAAAGCCTCTCCCACGGCCTCGGCCTCTCCCTCCCCCTCTTCCTCTGCTGCCTCCTGCAGCTCCATACCCCTCAGCAGTTTTGTTTGCAGCACCACCTCCCGTGTGGCGCCTGCGGAAGTCCTCTTGCAGAATCTGCTGCCGTAGCCACTCAGGCGTCCATTTGTCCTGCTGAACGTTGAGGGTGGGGATGAGGTTGTCCCACGAGTTGTCGAGCACCGAGATGATCTTGATGCACTGTTGCATCTGCGACACTTCGCTGCCCGCCGCTGCCATCCTCGCATAGATGTCCTTGATCTTGTCAAGGACCGGTTTCACATCATCTCCCGGTTTCATGGAGAGGGCAGCCAACTCCTTCTCCAACACAATCACCATCGGCAGCGTGTTGGGCTGAATCACGTCGCGTAGCAGCTTCCATGCCTTTGGTCCGGAATCATCCAACTCCACCAAATCTTTGATGTGCTGGAACATGTTGTTGTTGACCGATTGGAGGATGAGGTCGTACAGCACCGCGCTCTTCTCAATCCACCGATCGCGGGCATCTCCTTCCCCCGGCATCTTCTCCTCTCCCATTGCAATTTTCAGTAGCTTGTAGCGCTTGAAGGCGCTCCGCATCCGCCCGCTCCATTCCTCATAGTTGGAGCCATCCAAAGCTTCGATCTTGGATGGTGGCGGTTCACTCCTCTTCTCAGCTGCATCTCCACTCCCTTGATTCATCTCCTCTGCTCCCAATCAGAGGTTTCAGCTCCCCCTTTTGCTGGTCAAAATGTAGATCCACACAATCTTCACAAGTGTCGGCGCCAACGAAATTTCGGCAGAGTTTCCCCTTAGCGGAAGTCACATCCAACCTCCAGAACCCCACTTAGGCACGCCCACAGGCCATGGTGGGTCTATGAGGGTCTTCACACTTCAGTATACTCTCCACAAAGTCCTTAATCTGCTCTGATACCACTTGTTAGAGACTGAGGACGGAGTCTATGAAGATCAGTAGCCAAAATATCTAAACATCGTTGGGCCTAGTTTCTGAACAGAAAAGTCGAGTTCACAAGAAACGCCGTCGACGAAACGTTCACAGTCAAAACTTCATCAAACTCGAATATGTTGTAGCTCTACTCCGTGGCTACAATTCCCAAGTTGAATCATGCGAAAAGGTGAAGTATTTCTTGAGCTATCAATTTCGGCGCACTAGGGGGTATGCTGCCGTAGAATCTTAACTCAATCACAAAGTTCACACAAGTTCACACAAGAGAATTGGAGTAGCACTAAACCAGGTGGAAGGGATGAGGAGGACGAGAGGGAAGGTCCCAAGAGAGTCCCCAACCAAGGAAACCCCATGCCATACAATTCCCTTCCCCATAGGCAACCCAACTTTGACCTTTGTCACTAACCCAACCTCCACAATCCACCTCAACCCAACTTGGCCACACTTGCCAGCCTGGTTTGGTTTCTCCCAACCATTTGGCAGCAACTACAGTAGAAAAGACGAATTTCCCAACCCTCAAAAGTCTGTACCCCATATTGAGTCAACCCCACAACTTCCCATAGTCACCACAACCAAATATCAAAAGCATACGAACTCCAACGTTCGTAACTTTCTTGTTCGTGCTCCGATTGAAGCGATACTTGGTTCCTCGGAAAGCTCTTGAGCAGAGGAGTCACTTCAGATATCTGCTCAAGCCAAATAACATTCACACACACACACTCAGAAAAACCAAACCGCACAAAACACAAATTTCTGCACACACTCACAACACGCATGCAACGCACGAACATATGATGGGAGGCAGACAGACGTGAATGCGAATGGTAGCATCACTCAACAATTTCCCACCCCGTCGCCCTCGTTTCCCTTCCCGTCGCCCTCATTTCCCCTCTCATCGCCCACATTTCCCTTCCCGTCGCCCTCATTTCCCCTCTCATCGCCCACATTTCCCTTCCCGTCGCCCTCATTTCCCCTCTCATCGCCCACATTTCCCTTCCCGTCGCCCGTCCCCTCACATCGCCCACATTTCCCTTCCCGTCACCCTCATTTCCCCTCTCATCGCCCACATTTCCCTTCCCGTCGTGTTCATTTCCCCTCTCATCGCCCACATTTCCCTTCCCGTCGCCCTTCCCCTCACATCGCCCATATTTCCCTTCCCGTCGCCCTCATTTCCCCTCTCATCGCCCACATTTCCCTTCCCGTCGTGTTCATTTCCCCTCTCATCGCCCACATTTCCCTTCCCGTCGCCCTCGTTTCCCCTCCCGTCGCCCTCATTTCCCCTCTCGTCGCCCACGTTTCCCTTCCCGTCGCCCTCATTTCCCCTCTCATCGCCCACATTTCCCTTCCCGTCGCCCTCATTTCCCCTCTCATCGCCCACATTTCCCTTCCCGTCGTGTTCATTTCCCCTCTCATCGCCCACATTTCCCTTCCCGTCGCCCTCGTTTCCCCTCCCGTCGCCCTCATTTCCCCTCTCGTCGCCCACATTTCCCTTCCCGTCGCCCTCATTTCCCCTCTCATCGCCCACATTTTCCTTCCCGTCGCCCTCATTTCCCCTCTCATCGCCCACATTTCCCTTCCCTTCGCCCTCTTTTCCCCAAAGGTCGCCCTCGTTTCCCTCCCCCTCGCCCACATTTCGTTACCTGTCACTCACAATTCCCCTCATTCTCCCTTCCTCTCATCCGCGCACGCTCTCGTCCGCCCTTCTCTCACATCCTCCCTCCCTCTCATCCGCCCCCTCTATCGTCCTCACTTCCCCTCGTCCTCCCTACCCTTCTTTCGCCACAAGCCCTCATCCGCCCTCCCCCTCATCCGCCCTCCCCCTCGTCAGCCCTCCCTCTCATCCACCCTTCTTCTCATCCTCCCATCCCCACATCCGCCCTTCCTCTCATCCTCCCTTCCTCTCATCCGCCCTTCCTCTCATCCGCCCTTCTCATAGGTCCTCTCTCCTTCCCATTCTCCCATTCTATCATACTCCCTTTCTCTCATCCTCCCTTCCACTCCCCTTCCATTCCTCTCGTCCCCCCTTCCTCTCATCCTCCATCCCTCTCATCCGCCCTTCCTCTCATCCGCCCTTCCTCTCATCCGCCCTTCATGACCATCCTCTCTCCTTCTCATACTCCCTTTCTCTCATCCGCCCTTCCTCTCCCCTTCCATTCCTCTCATCCCCCCTTCATCTCATCCGCCCTTCCCCTCATCCGCCCTTCATCTCATCCTCCCTTCCCCTCATCCGCCCTTCCTCTCATCCAACCTCCCTCTCATCCCCCCTTCCTCTCATCCTCCATTCCCCTCGTCCCACCCTTCATCTCATCCTCCCTTCCCAACATCCGCCCTTCATCTCATCCTCTGTTCCCCTCGTCCTCCTTTCCTCTCATCCTCCCTTCCTCTCATCCTCCCTTCCTCTCATCCGCCCTTCCTCTCATCCGCCCTTCTCAGAGGTCCTCTCTCCTTCCCATTCTCCCATTCTATCATACTCCCTTTCTCTCATCCTCCCTTCCACTCCCCTTCCATTCCTCTCGTCCCCCCTTCCTCTCATCCTCCATCCCTCTCCGCCCTTCCTCTCATCCGCCTTTCACGCTCCCATCCTCTCACCTTCTTATCGTCTCTCCCTCACATCCTCCTTTATCTCATCCACCCTTCTTCTCGTCCTCCCTCCCCATCACGCGCCCTCCCCCTCATCCGCCCTTCATCTCATCCGTCCTCCCCCTCATCCGCCCCTCATCTCATCCTCCCTCCCCCTCATCCGCCCTTCATCTCATCCTCTGTTCCCCTCGTCCACCCTTCCTCCCATCCCCCCCTTCTCTCATCCTCCTTCCCTCTCATCCTCCCTTCCTGTCATCCTCCCATCCCCCCCTTCTCTCATCCTCCTTCCCTCTCATCCTCCCTTCCACTCCCCTTCCATTCCTCTCGTCCCCCCTTCCTCTCATCCTCCATCCCTCTCACCCGCCCTTCCTCTCATCCGCCCTTCCTCTCATCCGCCCTTCCTCTCATCCGCCCTTCATGACCATCCTCTCTCCTTCTCATACTCCCTTTCTCTCATCCTCCCTTCCTCTCCCCTTCCATTCCTCTCATCCCCCCTTCCTCTCATCCTCCTTCCCCATTCTACCACGCCCTCCCTCTCATCCGCCCTTCCTCTCATCCGCCCTTCACTCTCTCATCCTCTCTCCTTATCGTCGTCTCTCCCTCTCTTCCTCCTTTCACTCGTCCACCCTTCTTCTCGTCCTCCCTCCCCCTCATCCGCCCTTCATCTCATCCGCCCTTCATCTCATCCTCCCTTCCCCTCATCCGCCCTTCCTCTCATCCAACCTCCCAGGCATCCCCCCTTCCTCTCATCCTCCATTCCCCTCATCCCACCCTTCATCTCATCCTCCCTTCCCAACATCCGCCCTTCATCTCATCCTCTGTTCCCCTCGTCCTCCTTTCTTCTCATCCTCCCTTCCTCTCATCCGCCCTTCCTCTCATCCGCCCTTCTCAGAGGTCCTCTCTCCTTCCCATTCTCCCATTCTATCATACTCCCTTTCTCTCATCCTCCCTTCCACTCCCCTTCCATTCCTCTCGTCCCCCCTTCCTCTCATCCTCCATCCCTCTCATCCGCCCTTCCTCTCATCCGCCCTTCATCTCATCCGCCCTTCATCTCATCCTCCCTTCCCCTCATCCGCCCTTCCTCTTATCCAACCTCCCAGGCATCCCCCCTTCCTCTCATCCTCCATTCCCCTCATCCCACCCTTCATCTCATCCTCCCTTCCCAACATCCGCCCTTCATCTCATCCTCTGTTCCCCTCGTCCTCCTTTCCTCTCATCCTCCCTTCCTCTCATCCGCCCTTCCTCTCATCCGCCCTTCTCAGAGGTCCTCTCTCCTTCCCATTCTCCCATTCTATCATACTCCCTTTCTCTCATCCTCCCTTCCACTCCCCTTCCATTCCTCTCGTCCCGCCTTCCTCTCATCCTCCATCCCTCTCATCCGCCCTTCCTCTCATCCGCCTTTCACGCTCCCATCCTCTCACCTTCTTATCGTCTCTCCCTCACATCCTCCTTTATCTCATCCACCCTTCTTCTCGTCCTCCCTCCCCATCACGCGCCCTCCCCCTCATCCGCCCTTCATCTCATCCGTCCTCCCCCTCATCCGCCCCTCATCTCATCCTCCCTCCCCCTCATCCGCCCTTCATCTCATCCTCTGTTCCCCTCGTCCTCCCTTCCTCCCATCCCCCCCTTCTCTCATCCTCCTTCCCTCTCATCCTCCCTTCCTGTCATCCTCTCATCCCCCCCTTCATCTCATCCTCCCTTCCCCTCATCCGCCCTTCCTCTCATCCAACCTCCCTCTCATCCCCCCTTCCTCTCATCCTCCATTCCCCTCATCCCACCCTTCATCTCATCCTCCCTTCCCAACATCCGCCCTTCATCTCATCCTCTGTTCCCCTCGTCCTCCTGTCCTCCCATCCTCCCTTCCTCTCATCCGCCCTTCCTCTCATCCGCCCTTCTCAGAGGTCCTCTCTCCTTCCCATTCTCCCATTCTATCATACTCCCTTTCTCTCATCCTCCCTTCCACTCCCCTTCCATTCCTCTCGTCCCCCCTTCCTCTCATCCTCCATCCCTCTCATCCGCCCTTCCTCTCATCCGCCTTTCACGCTCCCATCCTCTCACCTTCTTATCGTCTCTCCCTCACATCCTCCTTTATCTCATCCACCCTTCTTCCCGTCCTCCCTCCCCATCACGCGCCCTCCCCCTCATCCGCCCTTCATCTCATCCGTCCTCCCCCTCATCCGCCCCTCATCTCATCCTCCCTCCCCCTCATCCGCCCCTCATCTCATCCTCCTTCCCTCTCATCCGCCCTTCTCTCTCATCCTCCTTTCCTCTCGTCCGCCCTTCCTCAAATCCGCCCTTCACACTCTTATCCTCTCTCCTTCTCATCGTCTCTCCCTCTCATTCGCCCTACATCTCGTCCTCCCCTCAACTCGTGTTCCCTCCCCTACTTCAGCCCCCCCCCCCCCCTCCTCATCCGCCCTTTCTCTCATCCGCCCTTCTCTCTCATCCGCCCTGCCCCTCATTCTCCCTTTCTCTCATCCTCCCTTCCTCTCCTCTTCCATTCCTCTCATCCCCCCTTCCTCTCATCCTCCTTTCCTCTCATCCTCCTTTCCTCTCATCCGCCCTTCCTCGCGTCCTCCATTCCTCTCGTCCTCTCTCCCCTTCTTCCTCACGTCCTCCCTTCTCCCATTCTTCTCCCCTCTCCCCCCCCCTCATCCGTCCTCCCTACCATCCACCCTTCCTCTTGTCCAACCGTCTTCTCGTCCTCCCACCCCCTCATCCGCCCTTCCTCTCATCCAACCTTCCTCCCGCCCCCCCTTCCTCCATCCTCCCTTCCTCCCATCCGCCCTTCCTCTCATCCTCCCTCCTCTCATTCTCCCTTCCTCTCGTCCACTCTTCCTCTCATCCCCTCTTCCTCTCATCCTCCCTTCCTCCCATCTGCCCTTCCTCTTATCCTCTCTCCTCATCCTCCCTTCCTCTCATCCTCCCTTCCTCTCCTCCTCCATTCCTCTCATCCCCCCTTCCTCACATCCTCCTTTCCTCTCATCCTCCCTTCCTCCCATCCGCCCTCATTCCCCGACCCTGTCGTTCCTCATTTCCCTACCTGTCGTTGCTTATATCTGATTCCTCCATTCCAATCTTTCCTCCTTCAACCCTCTGTCCTTGCCTCCTCTTTCCAGCACGCAGCCACCTCTCGGCCAGCAACACCACTCACCTGTGGGCATCTCAGCCACCCTGATCGCCAACCATCGCCCCGTGTGCATGAGCCCGCCTTTCTGAGCCAGGTACGTGCTACCATCCTCACACCTGCCTTATCTGGCCCACCTTTCACTTATCGTCTGGCAAGAAGATTCCCCTCAAACCATAGTTTCCCCGTTGCTCAAGGACAACCGCCGTTTTCTGGAATGCATTGCCAAGTGTCGCTTTGTAAGAAGAATCACTTAGCCATCTCCCCACCAGGGTTGCCCCCATTTTGCGCACCCTACCATACGTTCCGGCCACACAATTGCCCATACAATCATCCCCCCTCCATACCCCTCGTAGTCCCCTACTCAATGGAAAAATCAACCACTCCAATATCCTTTCCGCCCCTCGCTTATACATTCATCACATCCCATCCTTATGCCCTCCCTTCCCATCGCTGAGCCCTCATTTGAGCCTGGACCCCTCACGTCCCATCCATCCGCTCTCTCATCCATTCCTGGCGCCGTCAGTGCTCATCTCCCTCACTTCCCTTCCTGTCGCCCATGGCCCCATCACTCCATCTGCGTTCACCTGAGGTCGCTCGCTCACTGCGCGCCATTCATGACACCATGTTATTCACTCTCCCTTCCACCCCACATTCGTGCCTCTCTACCAACCTACCACCCCATTCCCTTTCCATTCAGACCCATCCTTCCCATCCAGGCCTCGATGGCGAACCATCCAGTGTAAAGTGTGTGCAGCACGTTCAACCAGCGTCATTATACTGTCCATTGGAAACTCAGAGCCCCGGTTTGCTACCTGCGTGTGGGGCTAAGCGTGCTTATGCCTGACAATAAAGTGGCTACGCATAACGATCTATTATCAGTCTACATGCAAGCTGCGCCACATGTCACAGAGAGACTTATGAGGGCAGCAAGACACGCAGGTAACAATGGGTTTAGGGGTGTTTGTCGCTTGATATAGTGCTGTAATATGCACTCTACGTCGTGGACGGTGTGTACTGTTCTCACAGGTTGATGTGCTTGCATGATTTTGCGACAGATGCGGGTCCTGGAGGAGCGAGCGCTGGCCAAGTTGTGAGGATGCATCTGGAATCCGACTCGAAGGCCTTCTGGAAGCGCATGGGGGGAGGGACCACAACGGTGGAGTATCTGTTAGCGAGGCCAGACCGATCACTGATAGGTGTAGAGTTTGAGTTTCCAAAATGGGAGAGAGGAAAAAATGGCGAGCCTAAAAGAGTAGAAGGAAACGGATGGGGCGGTGCACGCAACCAAGCTGCAGCAGGCGTCCCGCCGATAGAAGGTAAGAACGTAATGAGATGCTCATTCTACTACGCCCTTCCCTCATCCTCTCCCCGCCCTGTGGGCCTGATGCTTGTTTCCCCCATGGCACTGCCTAATACTAACACGAACCCGACCCCCCCACCACCTGCCCTACTATTCTGCCTATTATCTCCCACCAACCCCCAATCCTATTTCTGTCCCTATTCGCTGAATTCTCTTCCCCGTTGCACTGGCCATAAAACTGTCGCCCCCCGCTCTTCCCTGAACCCTTGTCCTTTCCACCCTCCCCCGACCTGCCTTGAAGCCCTAACCCTGGGCCTAATTCTTGTTCCCCTGCTGCATGTCAACAGAAACCCCACAAACAAATGAGGACGGGCATGGGCCGTGCTCGTCGGCCGAGAACGTGTATGGGGTTGAGGGGGTGAGTGTTGAAGACCCTACACAACCGCATGGCACTCCCTCAAGCCCCCAAACTGGTGGCTATTCTGAGGGGCCAAACAGGTACAAGCAATGATTGTCCGATGAAATACTGACCCATATGTTCATTTCCACATTTTTTGATAAGATGTAGAGTAGCACGTGCAGCACGTTTACAAAAACCAATCCAATTTTGTATCCGTCTTGATTTCTACACGTGCAGCCTGGATGCTGGCAGCGTGACGCGCAAGCGTCGTTGGCCCCGTGGTTGCCAAACCCCCCAAATTGGGAAGATTTTCCAGCAGACATGGTGTGTCTTCTCGATCCGAGGGTGATGGTATCGTTCTTTTGTGGTCGCGCCTTAGGCACGTGCGTGAGGTCTGCGTGCAAAGGTGCAATGCAACTTGAGTCGTGGAAGCGGTCATGGGCATGTCTGGGATTGCTGTGGTTGTGCAATGTCTGCTCAGCCAAGGAGGAATTTTGGTCAAGTAGTCGAGTGAGAGATGACCTACCTCCCAGCAAGCGTGGTCCACGTAGTCCGCCATTGATGGGTAAGATGATTGGAGCATTCGCTCTTGCCGGGATTGGGTATCAGCAGATGTGGGAGGTATGTCGCACCCTAGGCGTGCCAAGGCCAGGGCACGAAACATATTACAAGTGCTTGAAGGGCGACAATGGTTTGTGAAGTGTAATAATATCAGTGGCCAGTCAAAACATGATGCGAGTGCGTGCGAGCATGGCACTGCGTCCAGGTCTGAAATGGTTATGTGTTGACGGTAGGTATTCGCAGGTGAGAGAGGCGCGATGGTGTACCGTAACATGGTTGGATAGGGAGAGTCGAAAAATGGTTCATTATACAAACACAAGGAAACACAGGGACGACCGGTCATCCGTTAGGCTCGAGCGAATTGCATTTGACCAGGGCATGGATGAGCTTAGTAGGGATGGGTTTTGCGTGGATGGCATCATAACGGATGAGGGCACTGCTTTCAAGAGTGCTGCTCGGGAGAGAGGGTTGAGCCATCAGATTGACTGGTGGCACAAGTGTGGTACAGAGGTGAGAAGTTTCCGATCAGAGTTGCAAGATGCTAAGCGGAAGGCTGTAAAGACGGTTGTGGAGGCCAGCTGCTATGAGGATCTGTACTTGCTTACCAATAAACTGCTGCAGGATTGGCTGCGAGCTGCACCCAGAGAGGGCACGAGGCCACCTCTGCCCACTACAAAGAAAGAGCTCGTAGCTGAAGTGTGCACTCTGCGAGGGTTTGTCTTCAAGGATATGGATCCCGCCGATGCAAAATGGTTACACCCTACATTGCAGCAAGTGCTTCAGAGCCGGGGAAATGGGAGTGCAGAGCCGGTCATCCCAGAGGTCCAAGGGGTCTCTTTACCAGAGAGACCGGCTCAACCTCGATCAGGAGGCGCGGTTGGAGAGGGGGGGGTGGAGAATGCAGACGGTTTACGCGACGAAACAGCCACTGTGGAGGTACAGTGGCCGGATGTGGCTCAATTATGGAGCTACGACGCTCATCCAGTGTATGGGATACGGCCGTCCTCGTATGCCTCCATGGTGCTCATACAGGCTTGGGACGGGTTTGAGGGGCGTTCTTCGTTCTTGAGTGAAGAGGCCACCGACCAAGGTACGTCTCCTAAGGCCTTGAGTTTCTCATCCTACCACCTGTCAGAGTTACGTTCATACTACATTCTCATTATCCAGCCCACCTTCCCGGGCAGTGGTGGTTTTTGAGATCCTCTCTTCTCCGTTATTTCCCTCGTACTGCCATCTTCCGTCTCCATCCTCTCATCTACCTTATTATGTAACCTGCCCCCTCGAGTACCAATCTGGCCATACCTTGGTCACATTATGTGCAGGCAACCAGGGTGGGGCTCAGGGAGCGACGGCGCCCGAAGACGTGGGAGGCACCCAAGCCACAACGAATGGGGCGGCGGAGGAAGAGGGCGTAGGGGCTGCCCCGGACGAAGAAACTCCCAGGAGGTGGGGACGGCGAAGGCAAAGGAGAAGAACAAGCCGTGGAGACGGTGGAGGCGTCGATGGTGAGGGAGAGATAGAGGCGAGGGATAAGGAGGTCACCGTTGCTGACCGTCTTGCTGTGCATTTCTACCACTGTATGATGCGCAGTGGGGTGATGGCCCGGGCGGGGCACACTCGGTCCCCCGAGGATGTCTCAGCCGAACTATGCCTTGCACCGGATCATTTCGCAGGACTTCATTCTGGGTGCAGCAGAGGCGGTACCGAAGTTCCGAGGTGTGTCGCAGAAAACTGGGGTGAGGAGAGTGCGGTGTACGAACCGAATTCTGCGACTCATTTGGCCGTACGAGAGTGGTGTGAGCGGCATTTTAGCCCTGCCAAGGTCGCATGTATCATGGAGGGTGCAACAAATTCGATGAATGAGTCGTTTCACTCCCTTATCCTCAAGTATGCTCCCAAGCAAATTCTCTTCAAGGACAGTTATCCGCCTCGATTGGCATTAACAGCTCTTCACTGGAACAACACGATGGATCGTGTTGTTCGGGCATATGTCACACGTGTGCGACACGCGACAAGAACGCGTCGTGGTCGGAGAGATCGGGTGCTCGGACCGATGGATTGGAGTTGGGTTGATGGCATTTTGAGAGAGTGGAGGCGACCATTTACAGATGGGGTCGAAAATGCCGCGACTGCCGCCAACATGGACGGCACCCCACCTCCAAGAGCGATGGCAGAGGAGGAGTCATCACAAGCAGAAACACAGTTGGGATCTCCAATCGCGTCGCGGGCTGCGCCGCCCCATACGACGCACCTCGCCCCGAACGGCGCACGTCGCAACTTACTTGGAGAGATGGATAGGGGGAGAGGGTGAGGGGCGGGGAGAATGCCGAGATGGATAGGGGGAGAGGGTGAGGGGCGGAGAGAATGCAGAGATGGATAGGGGGAGAGGGTGAGGGGCGGAGAGAATGCAGAGATGGATAGGGGGAGAGGGTGAGGGGCGGAGAGAATGCCGAGATGGTTAGGGGGAGAGGGTGAGGGGTGGAGAGAATGCCGAGATGGATAGGGGGAGAGGGTGAGGGCGGAGGAATCCAGGGATGGATAGGGGGAGAGGGTGAGGGGCGGAGAGAATGCCGAGATGGATAGGGGGAGAGGGTGAGGGGCGGAGAGAATGCAGAGATGGATAGGGGGAGAGGGTGAGGGGCGGAGAGAATGCAGAGATGGATAGGGGGAGAGGGTGAGGGGCGGAGAGAATGCCGAGATGGATAGGGGGAGAGGGTGAGGGCGGAGAGAATGCCGAGATGGATAGGGGGAGAGGAGGAGCAGCAGCATCAGCAGGAGCGGGTGGAGGACTTTGACGTGAGGGGCATAGAGGCATACAACATGCACTCGGGGTGACTGTTGAAGGACGAAGGGTTCTCCATCGGAATTCCACCTATTCGCTACAAGTTCAAGGTGAGGTGGGGTAAGGAAGGTTTCATTGCACGCCCCGTGTTTCCTGGCCAAAGCAGTATTATCTCCCTGCCTTACGCTCCCGGTTGCGAGTTCTCCGTCACTATCTAGCTGTTCCGGTCCCCCCATCGCACCCATTTTTTGGTGGGTTCCGCCCATCCCTCCTGACCCATCCTCTCTTGCCTGCCTGTCCTCTCTTCCACGCCCCATCCTCTCTTCCGTCCCACATTCCTATCTCCCCCTGCATGGCAGCCAACGGCGACCAAGCTGCAGATATGTGAAGAGAGTGGCCGAGACCTCGCCAAGGAGGTGAGTCATTGCACTGTCTGCTCTGCAATGCTCATGCTGTCGGTCGTGCACGGAATGCCCGCCGTGGCTGTTCTGTCCGCACCGCACGCACTACACTGAAAAACATTTCAAAATGTACAGTCAGCCCTGACCCTTGCACTCTGCACTACTTTTTGGATTCTTGTTTCCCTATCACCTTTCTCCACCTCTCTCGACCATCCCGCCTCTCTCTGCGCTCAGATCCGCAAGGGCAAGGCCAAGCAGCGCAGCACATCAGCCAAGTCACCATCAGCCCCATTCATCACTGCCCCTCCCTCTGATTCACGTGCAACGCTACGCGTGTGCTTGTCCCATTCTAAACCCGTGCAAGGAATGCGGCCGTTTTTTTACTAGTAGTGATGGCAAATGTAGCAACTCGCTCCCTCATGGCTAGAAGCTGGGAATTGAAACAACCCCTTCCCCATTCTACCACATACTTGACTGCACACATAGGGCTACTTCATTGATCTTGTTGTCATTGCTGTGATGGTCATCCATCTACCTATCACACTATTGCGGACTGTGTAAAATGGGTAAACACATGTAAATACTGTAAGTTGTTCCCCATAACCCGCCCTCCTGTACTAACAATCAGTAAATTCCAGACTCCTGCGTCGCCAGGTTGACAATTGACCTCTGTCTAGCATCGTTTGACCTCATCCCAAAATCAATCTCGTCAGGGATGACCCATTCCAGGTTGAACCAGTCCACATCGCCTTGACTACATTTTCTGTAACCCACGCCCATTGGCTCGGGGTAAAGTGAGCCGATCACAACGTGGATCAGCCATGGCAAAGTTACCTGTGCAAACTGATGATCACCTAACAAGGCAGAGTATTGAATGTAGCAACGAAAACGATGGTTCTTTGCCCCCATAGGTTGACCATTCACATCCTCATCCGTGTTTTTTCCCAAGCACACCCTCAGAATGCTCGCCACACTAGGCCTCTGACTCCCGGGGCCCTCCTCATCCGACAATCCGAGCCATTGTCGCGCCCAAGCGTCAAAAACACGATATTGCTTGGCATATCGCTCCTCAAACTCAGATATGGACCACCGTTCTTTTGCGTATTGAACCTGTGGGGGCAGTCCCGTTGGTTGCACAACTCTTCGAGCTCGAACTCTGGGAAAGGGATGCGTGGTGCTAGCGGCAACCGAACGAGTATGGGCGGAAAGGGTGCCCGTACTTGTCGTGACCCTCGACTCCGGTCCACGTCGCCGACCCCTCTCCTCCTCATCATCCTCGGATCCCTCCTCCCCAACCCTGAATCCAAGCGTCAGCCGTCTCCGAGGAGTACGTCTCCATGAAGACATGGCTGATGAGGTGGACTGGTTTAGAGGGTGAGAAAAGGGAACATCAGGCAGAAAACAACAAGGGAGAAGGAGGGGTTAGGGAGTTAATGGGTTGGGAGGGTGGAGGGGGAGGGGGGAGGTGGGTTCACTATCCGCGTCCACCTGTCAGAGGGGAGCACGGGAGGTGAGGAGAGAGGAGCAGGCCACCTGTCAGAGGGGAGCACGGGAGGTGAGGAGAGAGGAGCGTCCCACATTCCAGAGTGGAGCACGGGAGGCGAGAGGAGAGGAGCACCATGCCCTGTCAGAGGGGACCACGGGAGGTGAGGAGAGAGGAGCACCCCACCTGTCAGAGGGGAGCACGGGAGGTGAGGAGGGAGGAGCAGGCCACCTGTCAGAGGGGAGCACGGGAGGTGAGGAGAGAGGAGCAGGCCACCTGTCAGAGGGGAGCACGGGAGGTGAGGAGAGAGGAGCAGGCCACCTGTCAGAGGGGAGCACGGGAGGTGAGGAGAGAGGAGCAGGCCACCTGTCAGAGGGGACCACGGGAGGTGAGGAGAGAGGAGCACCCCACCTGTCAGAGGGGAGCACGGGAGGTGAGGAGAGAGGAGCAGTCCACCTGTCAGAGGGGAGCACGGGAGGTGAGGAGAGAGGAGCAGGCCACCTGTCAGAGGGGAGCACGGGAGGTGAGGAGAGAGGAGCAGGCCACCGGTCAGAGGGGAGCACGGGACGACGGCGATTCAGGATGGATAGGGTGAGGTACACGCGCAGGGAGGCGAGAGCAGCACTGCAGGTGAGGAGAGAGGCGCACACCAGGTGAGGAGAGAGGAGCACACCAGGTGAGGAGAGAGAAGCACACAAGGTGAGGAGAGAGGAGCACACCAGGTGAGGAGAGAGGTGCACACAAGGTGAGGAGAGAGGAGCACACCAGGTGAGGAGAGAGGTGACGGGGTGGAGGTGAAGGGGAGCCGGCGGATTGGGGTATGACCGTATGGTAAAACGGTGAAAGGGGGATCTGAAGTCGGATGGCATGGCGGAATGGGGTGGGGCAGAGAGGGGTGGGGCGGAATGGGGTGGGGCAGTAAGGGGACGGGCGGAATGGGGTGGGGCGGAATGGGCTGGGGCGGAATGGGGGGATGAGGGACGGGGAGGTGATGGATGGGGAGATGAGGGATGGGGAGCTGTGGGAAGGAGAGGAGAGGGACGGGGAGGTGATGGATGGGGAGATGAGGGATGGGGAGCTGTAGGATGGGGAGGAGAGGGACGGGGAGGTGATGGATGGGGAGATGAGGGATGGGGAGCTGTGGGATGGGGAGGAGAGGGACGGGGAGGTGATGGATGGGGAGATGAGGGATGGGGAGCTGTGGGATGGGGAGGAGAGGGACGGGGAGGTGATGGATGGGGAGATGAGGGATGGGGAGCTGTGGGATGGGGAGGAGGGAGAGGGGGAGGTGATGGATGGGGAGATGAGGGATGGGGAGATGAGGGATGGGGAGATGAGGGACGGGGAGGTGATGGATGGGGAGATGAGGGATGGGGAGCTGTGGGATGGGGGGGATGAGGGACGGGGAGGTGATGGATTGGGAGATGAGGGATGGGGAGCTGTGGGATGGGGAGGAGAGGGACGGGGAGGTGATGGATGGGGAGATGAGGGATGGGGAGCTGTGGGATGGGGAGGAGAGGGACGGGGAGGTGATGGATGGGGAGATGAGCGATGGGGAGATGAGGAATGCGGAGATGGGGGAAGGGGAGGTGAGGAATGCGGAGATGGGGGAAGGGGAGGTGAGGAATGCGGAGATGGGGGAAGGGGAGGTGAGGAATGCGGAGATGTGGGAAGGGGAAATGAACGCGTATGCGATGGAAGGGTCGGAAGTGTGGGCGTTCCAGAGGGGGAAACGTGGGCCCTCAGGTGGGAAATAGAGGGCCTGCATCGAGGGCTTTTGAGGGACTGCAAGGTGGGGAAACGTGGGCAAGCAGGGTGGGGAAAGAGGGCGTGCAGAGGGGATGCGGAAGCACAGCCGTTGCGAGAGGAGCGTCCCACATTCCAGAGCTGAGCACAAAGGCTGTCGCGAGACGCAGAGAGGCAGTGAGGTGACGGGAGGTGAAGCCCCTCACGCATCTTAGAGGGGCACGCGTGGGGGGGCGAGAGGAGCACACAAGGTGAGGTGAGAGGAGCATGCGTGGGGAGGCGAGAGGAGCACACAAGGTGAGGTGAGAGGACCACGTGAGGGGAGGCGAGTGGAGCACGCGCAGGGAGGTGAGAGGAGGCTGCACGGGGAGGCAAGAGAGGCGGTAGAGGGGGGTGAGAGGTGCACACGAGGGGAGGCGAGAGGAGTTCGCGCGGGGAGGCGAGAGAAGCAAGCGTGAGGCGGCGAGAGGAGGATGCGCGGGGAGGTGAGAGGAGGAGGCGCGGGGAGGCAAGTGAAGCGCGCGCTATAAAGGCTCGCCTCTCATGCGTGGGGAGGCGAGAGGAGCACGCGCGGGATGGTGAGAGGAGGCCACGCGGGGAGGCGACAGAATCGCATGTCGTCAAGGCGAGAGGAGCACGCGAGGCCATGGCGAGCGGAGCACGCTGGCGATGGTGAGAGGAGGCTGCGCGGGGAGGCAAGAGGAGCGCGCGCGGGGAGGCGGGAAGATGCGGCGCTGGAGGCGAGAGGAGCGCGCGCGGGGAGGCGCAAGGAGCGCGCGCGGGGAGGCGAGAGGAGCGCGCGCGGGGAGGCGTGCGGAGCGCGCGCCGTGAGGCGAGTGGAGCGCGCGCCGTGAGGCGAGAGGAGCGCGGAGTGTCTTACGAAGCGTCGGAATGTGGCCCCACGACGTCGACAAGAAATCGACGAGAGGGGACCGGAGTAAGGGCGTTGGGAGGGCAAGGGCGACGGGGAAACGGGAGATGCGAGGGCGACGGTGCGTCAAGGGGGTGGACGATGTGAGGGGATAGCTAAATTACCTTTCACGGCACTTATTTCGACGTGCGAGTAGGACACGCTTCGCGCATGTCAAGCTTGGGATGAGGGCAAAGCAGGTGTTGCAATGGGGTTGAAGGTCCTGCCTATGCTGCTGACAGAGCTTCTCCTTTCGCGTAATAGCCGCACAAGCATTCCTGAATTACGATTGTTCGGCAAACTGTGCACAGGCAGTTCCCTCCTCCTTCAGGAAAGGGTGGTTGGAACTCTCGCCAAGCGGACGTGTTCTGCTCTACGACTCGGTCTTCTTGGGATGCGACGTTTTGTGGTTACCATCCTGGCTCGGGAGGTCAACTTTGGGTTCGGGAGGCAAAGTGTGCACAGTTTGCCTTTTTTTTTTTGTAATTCAGGTCTTGGGCTTTAAGAGCCTCCTCCATTATCAGTGGCTGAGTTGGTGTAGGTGCCATGAAGCAATACACCTCCTCCTTTGCTTCCTCATCAGAATCACTGCTGCTCTCCAGTACCAGTAGTGCATCAGGTTGCTGTTGCTCTCCCCTTGTTCCTCCTTCACCCCTTGCCTTCGCCTTCAAGGCGGCAGCTCGCATCTGCCGCGTCATCATAGGTGAGAAGGTTCGTCCTGTGGGTTGGGGTTTGGTTTGGGTTCTCCTTGGGGGGAGAGTGGGGGGAATGACACGTGTTATAGGATGGGATTCTTCAGGTTCAGCCATTGACTCCACACTCTTAACCACGGGGAGTTCTGCTGCACCCTCCTCATGTGCCATTGCAATCCCCTCCCCAGCCCACTCCTCCTCCACCTCAAAGCCCATGGTTGCCTGCTGCAGTTGCTGCACGAGCTGCTCCTTTGGCTGCTTGGACCAGCTCCCATAGGTGATGTCTTCCATGAACTTGACATCCCTACTGTCGAATACGACTCCCTTGCTCGGCTCCCATAGCAGCCACCCCTTGCTTTCCGCTGCTACACCTAAGTGTGCACACACCAAACAGCTGTTGCACCCAACTTGTTGCGATGTGCTTTGGGGATATGAGCCACAGCCATGCAGCCAAACACACGCAGCATGTCAATGGGCGGCTTCCTTCCAAGCCACCTCTCCGTGGGGACCCATGACTCACCACCGACGTTGGTGAACACCTTGTTCATAACCACCGTGGCGTGGCGCACAACATGTGGCCACTTTGAGTTCCCCAAACCCATTTCAATGAGAACAGCCCGTGCTGTCTCCAAGGCCATGTGGTTTGTCCGTTCTGCTACGCCGTTGGATTGAGGTGTGTAGGCGGTGGTGAGTTCCCGAATGATTCCCTGTTTCTTCAGCCATGCGGTCAGCTCCTCCCCTAAGAACTCCCCACCCCTATCAGACCTGATCCGCAGCACCTTGTGTTCAGATTGCTTCTCCACCAACGGCAGCCACTCGTCACGGATGATGGATGGCACGTGGTCCTTCTTCTTGATGGGATATGCCCATGTCACTCGGCTCCAGTCATCCTCAATGGTGAAGAATTCTCACCACGCTCCCCCATCACCGGTAGCGGCCCCACCACGCCCATATGCACTAGCTCCAGCAGTTTCTTGCCGCCGCCGTCGGTTGCATGGAATGGGAACCGAGTGAACTTGCTTAGTAGGCAAGTTTCACACTTATGAGTTGCTGCTGCACCTGTCAGCTTCAGCCCCTTAACCCCTTCAACCTTGTGCAATTGCTGCAGTGCGGGCATAGCAATATGCCCGAGGCGACGGTGGGCTGTCATCCAGTCGGTTTCACCTCCCCTTGCTGAAACTTTCAGCTCCTCTGCAGCTACAGCGTTGCACTCCCCCTGGAAACCATTCCCCTTAACCCAGGGCACCACCGGCAGCTGCCACATGGATTTGCATATGTCCCTATTCTCGTGCAAATCCAAAAGCATCCGCTTCCCCAGCTGCCCCTTGTATGTTTTGGCACCCTCGGTACTTGTGCTCACCCCACACTTTCCCAACTTCCTCAAGGAGATGAGGTTTGCCTTCAAATCAGGTACTAGCAGCACATCACTTAGCACCACCGATTTGCCATAAGCTCCCTTGAATGCAGCGCGCCCGGCCCCCGTCACCTTGAGCGCATGCCCGGAAGCGACTATACTTCAGCAATCGGTGCTGCCCCTACATTGTCCACGAGGTCAGCCCTTGGCGTCATAGTCCATGCTGCTCCTGTGCCCAAGATCCATGTGTTGAGCGGGTGCAATTCGGCTCCAGCATGGGCGATCATTGCGACCTCGTCCGCCTCACCGATGTGGAAGAATTGACCGGCTTCCCTCTCCTCTTGTTCAGCCGGTTCATCATTGGCAACCGCTCCGGCGCCGCTCCCATCTTGGGTCCTGTTGGAGGGGGACCACCAGGTGGGTTTGGTCCTGCAATTAAACCAAGGGTGACCCACTTTCTCATAGTACCAACACTTGCCTTCCATTCTCCCAGGTCCCCTTCCACCACCCCTTCCACCTCTGCCACCTCTGCCACCTCCACGCCCTGCTGACTCATTGTCTCTTGACGCTCCACTCCCAGCCCCTTGCCAGTTCTTGCCTCCTCCCCGTTTTCCTCCTTGCATTGCATAGCTGCTGCTCCCCTCTTCACCTCCCCTTAACTAACGTCCCCGGAAATCCTCCTCGAGAATCTTTGTGCGGATCCATTCCAGGGTCCAAAGGCTTTGGTTTTGGGGATGACTAAGGCCACTGGTGAAGACCATCCAAGACTTCGGCAGCAGCGACAACATCTTCACACACTTTGTTGACTTGGGGTAGGTAATGCAGGCAATAGCTAGCTTGGCGTAGAGATCTCTAAGCTTGTCTAGGACGGGTTGAACCGGTTCTCCTTCACTGAGGCGCAAGGTGGAGAGTTTTCTTTCTAACATGAGAGTTGCTATAACTAAGGTAGGTGCATGAAGGTCCTTGAGCACGGCCCACGCCTCGGGTCCGCACTCATCCTCTGGAAGGAGATGCACAATGTCTTGCCGTTGGGCAAGATCTAGGCTCTAAGAGAGGATGTCGTATCCAGCTGAGGAACATTTGTCCCAATCGCCCTGAAGCTCCGGGTTGCTAGGGCATTTTTCACTACCAATCATGACTTTGAGAAGTCCAATTTGTTGAAAGTATAACTGCATCTTCCAGGACCAATCATCGTACCCTTCACAACTGAACTTCTCGACGGAGAATGTTTTCAGCACTTCCCTTAATAGTGGGCCCTGGTTCGTCCGTGCTACCCTAGGCGCGAATACTCCAGATTCCTGGCTTCCACTACTCGCGGGAGCTGAATTCCCTTCTTCTCCACGCGACCCCATTGAGAGATACATTGAAAACGACTAATTACCAGCTCTGATACCACGTGTTGACAGCTATAACGTTATGCGGAAGCGATTAAAGCTTGAACTACAAACTTAACTTGGCAACACTTAACATCACTTGCAGCCATTCGAGTGTGACAGCTTGTCACCTCCTAGCCAAGGGCGTAAAAAACGGCAGGTGATTAGTTATGCCTTGCCCAGCTTGCAGGACGAGTAAACTGGTCGAGGAGAATTTCGGCAGCACCAAGGTAGTAATTCTACTCTTGTCAATACAAAGTAGTAGAATGCGAACTTGAAAAACGCAAATGCATTAGATTGATTTCGACAAGTACAAGCACACATCTATATAGATTCTACGCACACAACCGGTGGTGACACTGTCTGGTTGCGCAAAGAAGCTCTTGCGGGTTGCTAGTGAGCTGCTCCGCCTTGTTGCTTCAAACCATGATTTTTGTTGTTGCCATTCAGCTTCCAGCATTCTTGAATCGTGTGTCCTGTCTTCTTGCAGTACTTGGAAAGACTCGCCTTTTTGTGAGGTGGCGCTTGTGTGTAGAACGCAATCTTTTCTTTTTTAATGCATCGCTCGTTGTACAGGTCAATCTCCTTCTGCTCGGCAAGGAGCAAGGCGCAAAGCGAAGTTTCGCTGAGCGTTCCTTGGGTGCGGAGGATCAACTTGCAATGGCGCCGTTGCGGACTTAATCCGGCGAGAATAATGGTGACAAACATGTCGGCAGGGAAGTCGCCGCAACTTTTCTTGAATTGATCTGTTAGGTTTTGCAGCGGTTGATGTATGGTCCGGCCTTCTCTCTGTGGAACATTTTTACGTTGTTTAGCTGGTTGAGAAGACGACTAAGTGTCACCAAATCCGTTGCCATGTGGCAGGTGCACAGGTGCTCCCAGGATTGCTGCGCGGGTGCCCACTCATTCTTGAAGGGGCAAATGCTCTGTCATTCTTTGGGCGACAGGTTTCGGATAAACACCGTGAAGGCCAACAACGACTCGTTGTAGTATTGCGTCTTCTCTTGAGGTGAGCCGTTGACCGGGAATGCGTAGGATTTGTTGTAGTACATCCAGATCTGTACGCCTGGAGCCAGGACTCCATGTGGCTTGGTTGTCCTGAGCTTTGATGTTGGAAGGAATCTGCTTTGCATTGACACCATTATCTTGTATTGCATCTGGTGTGCTTGTGCAGATCCTTGAGCTCCGCGATTGTGAAGTTAAAGGATCGCTCAGACTGGGCTCTTTGAGGATCGAGAGGTCTTCGGGCGTAGGTAAGAGCCGTCGATTCTCATTAACTGATGGCTCTCCACGGCGCTGATGCGGGAAATAAGCTGCTC